AGTTTGTCTGTCGAAGCACTGGCAGCTTGTTCCTCTGGTGAATCTCCATTGAGGAGAACTGTCCCAATGTCAAGGTGCCAAACATCCATTTTTTTCTAGAAGCTGCAATACTCAGTAGTGTTCTGAAGGTGGTGTACTTGACAACTGTTGCACGTTGCCCATCAACTGGTGCAGGCTGCTTAATCACTTTTTTGCAGTTTGAGGGTTCACTTGTAGGTTTCACATGTGCACAAATTCCAAGTATTGCTGGTGGTACACCTTTGTTGCTCCTTGCTGACTATCTCACAGCTGCAATCTCAGTCCCTCTTGGCCTAGGCTCTCCTATTTCCCCTTCTGAATGTGGGATGTCTTCTGGACTTGCCTGCTCACAGGTGGTCCCTGCAGGTAGCCACATGACCAAGTCACTGAAAGAGACTTCTTAGTGTTCTGGTTAGTTTGCACTGTGGACTCAGCTTGTTTAGAAGCTTGCAGTACACTGTGTTCATCTATATGTACCTTTTTACATTCTTTGACCATGTAAGTTTTAGGGTTCAAGATTCTATATCCTCTTTCTCCAAGAGCATATCCCACAAGGATACCAAGTTCAGCTCTGGGGTTCAACTTTCCCCTTCTTTCCTTGGGTACATATGCATATGTTCTGGAACCAAAAGTTTTAAAATGTTTTAAACCTGGTCTCTTGTCAAACCACAATTAAAAAGGAGTTTTTCCTGTAACTTTGGAAGGAACTCTATTATGCAAATACATAGTTGTGTTCACAGCTTTAGCCCAACAAGAATCAGAGAGCCCAGATTGCAGGAGCATGGTGCGCACCATTTCTTGATTAGTCCTATTAAGTCTCTCTGCAGTTCCATTTGTTCAGGACAATAAGGTATTGTAGTTTTATATTGATTGCCTTCTTGTTTCATAAACCTTTGAAACTCATGGCTAGAGTACTCAGATCCACCATCTGTAAATAGTACCTCTGGAGCTTTGCCAAATTTATGTTTAATAGCTGCAATATAGCTGCTAATTTTTTCAAGTAATTGATATTTGCTTTTTATTAGGTACACATAGACATATTTTGTCTTTGGTTTCATGAACGTCAGAAAATATTTGCTTCTATCAGCAGAGGGTCATATTGGCCCCACTAATCTGAGAAAACCATCTCCAAAATTTTTCATTGTGTACAGCAGGTTGCCCTTTACACCTTGGAGCTGTACCTTTAGCATTCAGACACACCCCACTTCCAGCTTGCATCTGATTACAATCAGCAGCATCAATATTACATTCCTTCAATAATTTCTGCACACTCTGCACATACCTGTGGCCAAGCTTCACGTGTCATGCAAAAATACAGTTCTCATGTTCACATGCACCTGCTTTATATGACACACCAGTCCATCAATATCCTCAGCATCCTCAGCAATATTATTTAAGTAATGAGAACCATCTTTTTCTTCAGCCATGATTTCAGCTCCAGATTCAACATGAACAATATTACCATTATGTTCTCTAGGTATGACTTCATATCCATTGTCCACAGTTCTTTTAGTAGATATTATATTGTGACTTGCTTCTGGGACAAAAGCACAGGCTCTCAGTATGATTTCCACAACTTCTTGATTTGTATCTAAAACTTTCAACAAGACAGAGCCACTACAACACATACAACTTGCCCATTAACTTGTAGTAGGGTAGGCCTTTTTTTGTTTGCCTAATTCAATAAAGCTTACTTCATATTGGATAAATGGCTGAAACTTCCACTGTCTAGAAGCCAGTAATCCTTAAGATTTTGATTTGATTCACCGATAGCAAACACATGTCTTTCAGCAGATTTCTTATTATATTTAGTATTTCCTCTTTCATGGTCAATAGCAGTTTTGATCCTCCATACCCTTTGATCTGCAATATTTTGCTATATGCCCACGTTCCTTACTGTCAGCAAGCTGCCATTCCGTTTTCTGTGACCTCTGTGTACATATCTTTACCCTGTTGCACCCGGCTTGTTTCTACTATCCTGCTTCTGTGCTGGAATGCATAAGATAACTACTGGTGGATGTGTGGGGGAGAAGATGCTGTAATGCTTGCCTATTGCTATCTCATGAGAACTGCACCTGTGTTTTGTCTGATGTTCTGCCTGGTTCCCATGGACTGGGCGCGCAACCGTTTCATTAGCCCGCCAGCGGGAATATTATTCATTGGATATGTATCTGTTTGAATTTCCTTTATTATGCTCGCCCTACCTGTGTATCCCCAGTTCTAACAAAGAACGTGTTTGAGTATGTCTTCAACGCTTTGAAATAAATTTTGCTTTTATTGAAAACGTGGATTTATTCTCGATGCTTGGGGATCCAACATATTGTTAGAACTGGGGATTCCGTTTTTCATATGAGCCTGTTGAAGAAAGATCCTGGCCCGTCTCCCTGGAGACCATCAGTTACTCCTCCTCCACCTGTCATTTTGGAAGGGGATGAACATTTCGAGATCGCTGATATCCTTGATTGTAAATTGAAACGTGGTAAATTATGGTACCTTATCGAATGGGTTGATTTCGGTCCCCAGCACCGCGAATGGGTGGAAGAAGGGGATATTCGGGCCCCTTACCTGATCCGTAGTTTCCACAAGAGGTTCCCGGACAAACCGGGAGGTCTCCCGCCCAGCCCGGGAGATCTCCCGCCCGACCCGGGAGGTGTGTTTTAGATGTATTTTAAGGGGGGCAGTATGTCAGCAAGCTGCCATTCTGTTTTCTGTGACCTCTGTGTACATATCTTTACCCTGTTGCACCCGGCTTGTTTCTACTATCCTGCTTCTGTGCTGGAATGCATAAGATAACTACTGGTGGATGTGTGGGGGAGAAGATGCTGTAATGCTTGCCTATTGCTATCTCATGAGAACTGCACCTGTGTTTTGTCTGATGTTCTGCCTGGTTCCCATGGACTGGGCGCGCAACCGTTTCATTAGCCCGCCAGCGGGAATATTATTCATTGGATATGTATCTGTTTGAATTTCCTTTATTATGCTCGCCCTACCTGTGTATCCCCAGTTCTAACAAAGAACGTGTTTGAGTATGTCTTCAACGCTTTGAAATAAATTTTGCTTTTATTGAAAACGTGGATTTATTCTCGATGCTTGGGGATCCAACACTTACAAAGAAAGCATACAGTGTCTCTATTTCCAAGTTTCACTCTCAGTACAGACATTTTACTGTTTGCTTCAGACATTTCTTTTCTGCTTTCTTCATCTTTTAAGTAGGCTAGGACAAATAGTTATCAATTTGACCGGAGAAAGATCTGGGAAAGCTATTACAAATGGCTGCTATGATGTACTTGTCATCTAAAGTCACCCCTGAAAATTTCAATTTTGGTACTGTTACCATGATATTATTTAAATGTACAGAAATTGATTCTCTTTCATTCATTCTGAAGCTGTAAAGTCTTTGTTTTATAAATAGGGTTTGAGTCTGCATTTTCTTGCTATATTGGTCTTGGAGCAGGAGCCACATTCCCTTGCATTAGCACAGTCAACAAACAAAGAATTTTCATGATCTGAGACAGAAGTTAAAATGAACAATTCTGCTGTAGCATTGAGTGCGAAAATCCTTATCAAGTGCATCAGTGGCAAAATGCATCTTTAATGCAGCTCTCAGTCTGGCTGTAGTTAGTTCCATTTAAAAGGGGAATTTGCATATTTGGAGGAGGGCAACCGTCCAAGGCTGGGGTGGGTAGGTCTGCCATTTTGGATGGGCCTGCTGTGTATAAATAGCAAGTTTCCTTGTTTTCTTTGTTTGCAGACAGCCTAACAAGATGAGGATTCTTCCATGGCTGTGGCTGTCTTGTTCCTCCCTATCTGGTGGTTGCTTTAAGTTTCCTGTCCCCAGCTCTTCTGGTGTGCTGGCCAGTGATACTGCCTTTGACCCTGGGGCAATCATAAGGCTGGATCACCCTTTTCCTGTTACATGATGTTGATGTCAAGTAAATTACTGTTACATGTTTGCAGCTCAGTTGGTCCTCCATAGGGAAAGTTTGAAAACTGTTTCATAATGCATCATTTTCTCATAAAATAGGGACATTAGCGACTCATTCTTGGTGTTCAAAAAAAATTCTTCTAACTGCTGGTAAACTTATATCTCAGTTGTTTGTGGAAACTACTTTTGTATGTTTATCACTTTGCTGTTAAGACAGGTTTGGATATAAATTACATAAGAAGCACTTATGGAGGTAAAAGTCAGGGGAAATATCAGTAATAGCTCTCACCGAGCCGAAAGAATGACACCAGCCTCCACCAGGGTGCCGGTAGGCAGCCCCTTCCATTGAATTGATGTGGCCTTAGTTAGGATTCAAATATGTGACTAGCACCCAAAAATGTAAACCGCCCAGAGACCCCTACGGGGGTTAGGGCGGTATATCAAGTTGAAATAATAAATAAATAAATATAAATAAATATAATGTACTTCTTTGTGGACTCTGCATCGCACTGTTGGGCACACATCAGACCAATGTTTACCAGTCTGTATAGCTCATTCTGTGTCTCTATCACTGCATACATTTGTGTTGGAACATGTCTAGGTATGTGACTATATGAAGCCAAATTCTGATGACTGGCTGAGAATTTCTAATTAAGTCTGCAGCCCCTCCTGGTAGCAAAGCTACCAAACCTGAAGAATTCGGAGCTCTTCCAACATGCTGCTTCCTTTCTTACTTTAAAACAACAACAACAACAAGCATTCAGCCTGATGAAGAGGTTTGTGGTACTTGAAGACTTGTGGTCATGTTTTATGATTTATTGATTGTTCATAATAGTTCAAAAAATTGCACAACTTTTGTATTTGGATTTTCTTGCCCATGGATCACAGCGGATGCCTACAATTTAAGTTATATTGGTTTGTTTATGTATTTGTTATACAAATATACGAAAATATACATAAAGTATACAAAAATCGTATTGTAAAATTAGCTGTAGTTTAATAAATAATTTGATAATACAACAATGTGATTTCCCCACTCTTTTTCTTACAGAGGCTGCAGAAATTGTATTGAAGGCTCAAATCTTAGCTGGAGGAAGAGGAAAGGGTGTTTTCAGCAGTGGACTCAAAGGAGGTGTGCATCTCACTAAGGAGTAAGTCCTCAGACTTTACAACAATATGAGAATGCCCATGCAGAAAATCAACAACCTTTACAGATGTCTGTGTATTGATTTGTTTGCGAGGGAAGGCAGCATGGTATAGCCTGATCTCAGCAGGTCTGGGAAGCTAAGCAGGGTCAGTACTTGGATGGGAGACCACCAAGGAAGACTTTGCAGTGGAAGGCAAAGGCAAGCCACCTCTGCTTCTCACTGGCCTTGAAAAGCCCCTTGCTGGGGTCTCTATTAGTCTTGATGGCACTTATGTACGTACGTATTGATGTGTTTCCCCCCCCCTTCTTCTCCCCCCCCTTAGCCCTACGGTTGTAGGACAACTTGCTCAACAGATGATTGGATACAATCTTACAACAAAGCAAACCCCAAAGGATGGTGTTAAAGTTAAGAAGGTAAAATAGTTTTGCTGCTTAAAGCTACTGGACAATACCATTCTATATTACTATTAAATAAATCTACATTTTTATAAGTTTTTTTTTCATCCTTCAAGATTCCTAAAGTGTTGCATACTATTCACCTGATATTAGAAGACTGGGTTTTTTTTGTCCCTGGCCTTGGTTGTTTCTTAAAAACGGTTTTGCTTAGGCCAATTAGAAGAGCCGTCTGGAATAGACCATCAGTTCCAGCATCCTGTATTTGATAGGGGCCAGTCAGAGACCTCTGGGAAGCTCACTCCTCTCCAAAAACAATTTAAGGTAGTGGCTTTCATCTTGTGTCGGTGAAGTCCATCAGTGAATTTCATAAGCTAGTTATGCATTACATAAAGATGTTCTCCCTGCATGTGCCGCCCACCAGCATCATTGGGTGCCTGCACATTCTAGTCTTATAAGAGACTGGGAGAAGGTTCTCGCTATCTCATTTTCTCTTTGGGCGACCAGAATGGTATGCAGTATTCCAAAAGTGGTTGCACCATTGGTTTGTACAAGGGCATTTATAATACAGCTGCCTTCTCCCGTGGATCCCGTGACTGGAAATGCTGAGGGGGAAATCTGCACAGGAAGGATGGGTGATGCTGAAAAATGAAGTGCTTAAGGCACAATCTCAAACTGTTCCGGCAAGAAAGAACGGTGGGAGATGGGTAATGAAGCCAAGGTGGCTGAACAAGGAACTCTCTAAAGAGCTGAGACTAAAAAGAGAAATGTACAGGAAATGGGTCAGATTACTGAGGGTGAATACAAAAAGCAAGCTCGAATCTGTAGGGATGGTGTCAGAAAGGCTAAAGTGCAGATGGAGCTGAGGCTTGCGAGGGATGCTAAAAACAACAAGAAAAATTTCTATGCCTATGTTCGGAGCAAAAAGAAGAACAGGGATGGGGTAAGCTCATTGCTAGGGGAAGACGGTCAAGTATTAACAAGGGATGAAGACAAAGCGGAATTACTCAACTTTGCATCGGTCTTTAACCATAAGGTGAGCTGTATACAAACTGAAGAATGCAGGGCATATGAAGGAAGGAGGAACTGCCAGTCCAGGATACATAAGGAAATGGTTAGAGAGCATCTAGCTGCCTTAAATACTTTCATATCTCCAGGGCCAGATGGCTTGCACCCCAGGGTGCTAAAAGAAATTGCAGATGTTATTTCAGAGCCTCTGGCTCTAATCTTTGAGATGTCCT